GATCCCTTTCTGCAGGGTTCCTTCCTAGACAGTCACTCCCCATTCTGTGTGCGTGAAACATTTTGGGTAGCATGTTATGAAACCAACGTAAAGTTGCTTAAAGAGTTTTAGGGTTAGCTGCATTCTGGTATTTTCCGAAGGCTGAGCTAAGTTGAATATTCCATTGTATGGAAACTTCTGTATCATCAAATGTTTATTTTAGGGAATTAGAAAGATGGCAAACTTGTAAGAGCAGCGGGCTCAGAGCCAGAAAGCAAGAAAAATCCATTCTGTTTGGATAATCACCAATTCTCTGGCTGGCTGCGATTCAAAGACGGACTTATTTAGCTCCGAGCATCAAGGCTTCGAGTCCCGGACGCCCGCTGCAGGAGTCTGACTTCTCAGCTACACACCCTGAGAGAGATTTACACAAAGAGAAGAAATCCCAGGGAGATCAAGGGAGGATGACAAAAACTGTTTGCGTCTGTCAGGAAGTGGAGGCAGGATAATAGATGTCTGAATAGGGTTGCATTGTTGAAAAGGTTATAATATTGCGGCTTTATTAGGCTGCTAAATCCCTCCATCGACTAACCTATTCAAAAGGCTGCTCAGGATAAGATTGTGTCCTCTAGTCGGGATGTATCTTTTTTAAACGGCCTGTAGGTTTGATGCATGTGGTCACTTCATATATTATTTAGTGTTGGTGCTCGAGAAGCACCCTGGAAGCCGAGTGCTCAGAATGCCTTTACACAAAGCACCGTGCAGCCACATAGCAAGAGATTGGCCTTTTCCCCACAGGCCGCAGACGGTACAGGCAAAGGGGGGGAGGGCAGACAGATGTGGTGACTTCCCCAACATCAGCCAGCTGGGAATTGTCTCTGAGGCCAGTACACTTATCCATAGGCTACCTTGACTCTCTCGTCCTCTCTAGGCTGGGATCTGTGGTAAGATAAGGGCCTGCCACATAAGCCCACGTATCACAGGCTGGGTATGAGGACTGAGGCCTACACAGCAATGGTCAACACCCGGGTATGAGGCCTGAGGCCTACACACAATGGTCAAGACCCGGAACAACGGTCAAGACCCGGGTATGAGGCCTGAGGCCCACACAACAACGGTCAAGACCCGGGTATGAGGCCTGAGGCCCACACAACAACGGTCAAGACCCGGGTATGAGGCCTGAGGCCCACACAACAACGGTCAAGACCCGGGTATGAGGCCTGAGGCCCACACAACAACGGTCAAGACCCGGGTATGAGGCCTGAGGCCCACACAACAACGGTCAAGACCCGGGTATGAGGCCTGAGGCCCACACAACAACGGTCAAGACCCGGGTATGAGGCCTGAGGCCCACACAACAATGATCAAGACCCGGATATGAGGCCTGAGGGCTACACAGCAATGGTCAAGTCCCGGAGGCAAACTCAGGAACGCACGCAGCCGAGCGGTGATCATCACTGAAGAAGCAGGAGACCTGTCAGGACACACCAGTGAATCCTGCCAGCTGTAGGAGCCTTTTTGGGAAAATGTGGCCACACCCTTCAGTCATGGGAAGGGGCCCTAATTCTTCCATATTCTGCTGTTTCTTCTCTTTAACTCCATCTTAACCTGGACTGGGCCAGGCACCTGTCTCTGCGAGACACTAGGTTATCACGGTGAGACACAGTGAGACTCAGGTATCATAGTGAGACATTGTCGAGGTTAGATGTGGGACAGAGAAATCCATGCTGAATTGCTTCCCTCCATCCCCAACTGGGCCCACATACGTACACACATACAGGTGACCTTAGAAATGCTAGGACAAGATGGGTGAGAAAATGCCTGTTGTCTCTCCCGGGGATTTCTCTGGGAAGCAAACCCCTACACCTTCTGGAGTTTGCAGTTGAGTTTCTGCCACCTAATGTCCAAGAGCTGCTAAAACTTTGGGTAAGTCTTTAAAAAAATCAGCATGGCTCTCTGCTCCAGACACGTTGCTAAGCATAGATCACTAGCCGGTGGCTTCTCTGTATCGAACAGCCAGTACCATAGAGCAACATGACTGGGAAGCTAGAACTGAGATTTCCAGCTGTAAAACCAGATCGGCAGGGACCATGGAATCCTAGAATCCCAGGGCTGGAAGAAACCTCAGGAGTCATCTAGTCCCACCCCCTACCCAAAGCAAGACCAACCCCAATCTCATGTTCTTCTCTAATCTCTTTGTGAGCAGTTCACAAATGTATTTATCCTCTCACGCTGCTTGTATCCTGTTTTGATTCCGTCCACTTTTATTAACTTATTAATAAAGAGGGGGATTTGATGAATTCCTTGCCGATCGGAGAAAGCTGTAGGTCCTACAGGAGAAGTGCCCTGTTTAGACCAGTATTGCTGTATCTGGAATAATGCGTGAACATTGGCCTTCATTAGTCAGGGCTCTTTCTGAGAATTGTCTGTTGTACCTCGCGGCATTTTGTGAGAGCTATTGCATTGATTTTTAAAAGATCTAGCTCTTAGGAAAGTATTTATAGTAGAAGAGGCAAGTCATTCTGCACGGCAGCAGGCTCTCATTGCAACGTTGACTGCAATTTGAGCATTATCAGCACAACCTGTGTTTCATTTTAAAGAGGGGTAAAGTCGGGACGAAACTCTTGCATGAAAATAATTATTTCTTGGTCTTATTAGTGAAAAGTTTTGAAAATGTCTCCCCCTCCCTCTCACCCTCCACAATGGAAATTTTTAATTCAAAGCAAAGAACGTGTCATCGGAACTTTTGGTGGAAAATTGTGATTTTTTTATTGAAACAAACCAACCCCTCCAAATGTGTCAGTGTCCCAAGGAAACATTGGAATTTTTGGAGGAAAGCTTACAAAAACTGTTTCTTTCTTTGAAAATCCAATTTTCCCTTCCAAAAAAGTCAATGGAAATTTTTCAACCAGCCCTACCAATCCCGTCTTAATTTACTGTTAAATTATTTCAACCCTTTTATTGCTGTTGTTCAGCATTTATCACTCTTTGGCTTTTTGTTCAGTTTGAACAATGAGGG